GCGCCATTCTTCGATAAATTCGACTATTAAGCCATTTCAAAACAGGGTTCTTCTACATTTGTTCGGAGATTACGGCCGCCCATGCTAGTAATATAAAGTTATATGTAAATCTTAGGTACTAGAGTGCGAAGGTTGAATTGAAATTGCTTTGCGTTGAGTTAAGTGGCGCAAGTTTCACAATATTAGGTTCAGCTTCACTCAACAAGCATCTCATATCATGCTCAATGTTCATACGATTTCTGGCTTTTGTTTTTAATATAAGAAAAGTTGAGAAACTGAGTCAAGTGGAATCAAGATCTTTAAAGTTCTGTCAGCTATGATGGGATATTCTGCAGCTGCTTTTCGCCAAAATGTGCAGAGTTTATCATTTTGAAAATCAACTTTCAATAAGTTATTTTCACGCAGCCCGAGACACTAGCTGACACATCTTCGTCCTTGAATATATCGACGCAAGTAGAAAATGGTCTTAAAATCCAGGAGTAGCACTCACGAATGTCCATGTCGGGAAATATTTTGCTGCAGTGAGTCTATCACGGCAGTTAAGTGTTACACCACAGAATTTTCAAATGTGATTTTGTCTCGTTTATTATTTAGTAATTGTTCACTTAGTCGTGTAAACATCGACACATCACCAGCTTAAACTCTGCGTTGGTAAAATTCCAATTTGCGTAAAAAACTTGCGATTTTATCCTGCAGCATCAAATATTTGTTTCATTTCCTTGCAGTGAAATATTCAGATTATTAATTTCAGTAAAAAATCAGCAAGGTACGCTATTTTTAGAACAAATATATGGTGTTTAATTTTTGCATAATATTCTTTTCTTTTTGTGTTCTCTGGTTTTCAAAAAACAATCCAATTTCTTCTCGTAATTCATAGACCCTACTTAGAACGTTGTCTCTTGATAACCAACGTATCTCTGTAGTTACAAAAGTGCATTAATGTAGCACCAACTTCATCGCACAAAACTTTAAATAATCTTGAGTTAGTAGCGCTGCCTCGAATATGATTAACAATTTTTACTATATCACTCAACGTGTTTAGCAAATCTGGTGGGAGTGTTTTTACAGCCAAAGCGTAACGTTGTCTCAAACAATGATAGTTGAAAACTTGAGGAGCAACTTGTTTTACAAGTGACTGAAAACCAGAACGGATACCCATCATGGAAGGTGCCCCGTCTGTACAAATACCAACCAGCTTTAACCAGTCCAGGCCATTTTCCTCAATAAACTCTTTTAGCGTTTGAAATACGTCTTCGCCGCGAGTAGTAGTGGGCAAAGACTTGCAAAACAAATATTCCTCCTTTACATCATCATTTTTTATGTATCATGCGAACATTAATAATTGTGGAACACACGAAGCAACATCTGTGGACTCGTCCAACTGCAGTGCAAACATAGGACTTTCCTTTTATTTCAGCAATAACGGTTGCTAAAATATCGGCACTCATTTCACATATGCGTCTTTGAATGGTATTGTTTGAGAGTGATATTTGTTTAATCTTAGCTACATGTTGCTTACTATAACAAGTGTTGCCGCATCTAATAAGCAAGGTTTGATGAGGTCCTCTCCTTTAGTGTGTGGTTTTTTATTACGTGCGATGCGATAAGCAATTTTGTATGAAGCTTGAAGGTATGATTCATTTGCTTTCTGTATGTTGCCTGTAGAATCCATGCGCAAAAACTTCAGAATCTTCTCCTTTTCCTTAAAAAAATCTATATTTTTATCTGCAAACTGCTTGTGAACTGTAGCAAAATGTTCTTTTAATTTGTTCGGTTTCATGCTTTCTGAATTATGCACTTTATTCATAGACCTTATACAACTTCATGGACTGCTAGTCCCCATACATTTCTCAAGTAAAAAAGTGTCAAAAGATGTTCTATGGTATGAGGGCATACGAGGGTAATTTCGCGGCCGCGGCCCGAAAATGTCAAACTCGATCGCTTGAACGTCAAATGAAAGTCCGTGTGTTCGAAAATTGTTGGGAAAAATTATATAATATACAATTTATGTTAAACTAATGAATGTAATGAACTATTTATATATTTAGTTTATTTATTTTCGTTATACAAAGTGTTTAAGGAAAATAAGAAAAGAAAATAAAAAAATATTTTACATATTAAAAATTCACTGAAAATAAAAACAGTTGGCTAGAGCTATTGTGGAAAATATAGAAAGCAATAATGAAATATTTGTTTAAATGTAATATATTTATTATTGGTGTTTAAAAAGCACAATTTTTGTGTGAAAGTGGCGTACATATTTAGCAACTTTGATTTTTTTATGTTCTTCATGGTGCATTCTAATTGTTAAATACATTTTTGCGACAAAGTTGATAAGGTCATGATAGTGCTGGACAAATTGCTGGAAATGGCTTGATCTAAAAAAATGTGCAAGTCGCAAGTCATTCAACTTTTGGAGAATCGTGCTTTCATATGAACTTTTGTACATTAAATTTAAAGAATTTCGAATTAGGGTTTATATATAAATATAATTTAAACATTTCATCGGAAGGATATGAAAGATATCCTCGATTTTTTATATCGATGAATGTCGAATTTCCCGGAATACTTGCGAAGCATTCAGAACAGGTGTTACTGCAATTAGGAACTTTACCACAGACCAAACACATTTTAGAAGACATTTTACTTTTAACAATTTTACAACAGGTATATTTTTATCCTCTTTTAGTTTAAAAACCCGAGCGATCAAACATCACGTGAACCCAAGTAACTGTAAAATTTAAGCGATCGAGTGCATTCGACTAATCTCGGTAAAGCTCGTGTTCGTATTTGACATATCTCGGCCGCAAAATTACCCTCGTATGCCCTCATACCATAGAACATCTTTTGACACTTTTTATGCGCTAACTAGCAGTCCATGTATTGTATAAGGTCTATGACTTTATTACATAAAAACACTGAAGCTTTTCTATATTTTTGTCTGGTGATTGTGAACCCCATTGTAGAAATGCTTCTTTATAAGTGCGCTTTTTGCCAGATGGAGTAGAAGCCATGTCAAAAACACTTGTAGGTACCCAAAACAAAAGTTAACTAATAAGATACTACTAAAAAAACGTCACTCGTGACAATATAAACGTGACGATATTAACAAATACTACTTACCTTTGAATTTAAACAATACGATTTTCTGCAATGCGCGGCGGAATGTAATATTGTTACAATACAAGTGATAAGTGAATAGGTATTCGATCATGGGTCTAAGTAAGTTATATACCCTAACCTTAATCACTTGGATGTTTTCTATTGGCCATTACCACCATTCCTATGGTGGTCAATTGCAGGGTCTCTACAGTCTAATAGGTCATACTGAAATATTAGGGTTCCTACGGCAAGTCGTTTAATTTAAAAAAATCGACCAAAAGTTTGCAAAAATTAGTGTAATTTTTTTGGCTTTGTCAAAATTATAACTTTCCTCGACGCTTGCTCAAAAACGCCTGAACAAATGTCAAAAATTTAAAAGCCAATCAAAGTATTTTAATGTGGATATCTTTCTTAGTTTTTGTGCAGCAATCGGCCGAGCCATTTCTTTGTAATTTGGAAAAAATTGTTAAATGCTTTTCGTCTATATTTAAGCTCATACTACCGAATCGATTTTAAAAAATCAAAACTTTTTAAAAGATATTATTTGGGAATGATACGGATTAGTTTTAGTTGGTGCTACATTTAGTTTTAGGTGAAAATCTATCGAACCGTTTTCTTGTAATTAATTGTTGCAAAAAAATTAAAATCGAATTTTATGGAATTTTTTTGGCGATATATATCATGGTCTTATAGAACTTACTGAAATAATACGGCCTTACGACAAGTAGTTTAATTTTAAAAATTCATCAAAGTTGGAGAAAATGAGTAGTTTTTTTGACGTTTGTTAAAATTAAAATTAGACGATTTACTTTTTTATTTATTAAATGACATTTATACAGTTATAAATCTTATATATTAATATTATATACAACAAATACAATTTTTTTTAACTAAATATGATATGTCATCCAGATCGACGTTTGGTTGGTCAGCATCACTGGTATTAGTATCAATAGAGTGGCTTTCACTATTGCTTGTGGAAGTAGCATATAAAGATTTTCTTCATTTTACAAAATTCATCTTTAGATGGTTCGTAACCAACGCAGTTATGGTTGATTCGCTGACTACTTAACAATAGCCCGTTAAGTGTATTAGTTACCAATTTGTTGCGTGTTTGGCATTTTATTAATCCAATCTTGCAAATATTCGCTCACATTCGGCATTAGCATGAGGTAATGACATAACATTTAAGAAAAATTTAGCTAAGTTTTCAAACTCCAACCTCTTCCTTATCTTTGTAAATTAAAATTTTACTAATGTCATCCGGCAATTCAAAATAATGGAATCTTCGCCATTCATATCAATAATTTGACTTTGACTTGGGTTTAATAATCGGGGCAGTTTACTCAATAATGGTAGCAAACTTGGCGTAGTGATTACTGTTTTACCATTCATTGCGTCCGCAGGATTCTTTACTGATAAATTTTTCAATATAGTATCATTGAAATCGAATCGTTTTTTTATTTCTTCACATCTTCGAATTATAAACTTCCTGAATTTTGCAAGAAAATGCAATTTTTCTTGTAAACGAGGATGTTTTGAAAAGTCTGCTTGGTTAAAATATTTAAAAACTTTTACTCCAACATAAATATTTTGAATATTCTTATTTAGTCTGATCCGATGGTTTAATATTATATATGGGTGTTTTATTTACGTAGTCATCATTCATATATGTTTTTAATAAATCCAATATGTCACACTACTTTTCTTATGAACTGACATAATAATAGGGTTTTCGGACTGGAATAACTTGTTTAAATTCGTGAAGTTAGGTAAAATCCATAATAAAAAATGATAGTAAGGCTTTATTATGGGATTTCGCAAGTATTGAAGTATTCTTGCAACTTCAGATTCATTTTCATCTGTTCCATCACTATCATCTTTCCTCCTTTTACTCATCTTCCTGTATTCCTCTTTATAATTTAATTGATTGAAATATAAAATTAATGCCTCCCACTCGTTCTACCACCATAATAACCATGGTAACCAGCGGGTCTGAGCAGGTTGTAAAACTTTATGCTGTTTCAAATCCAAAATCGATTGAATTCTTTTGTATGCATATTGGCGTTTTGAGCTCACTGAAAAATGATTATGAACCAGCTGTGGTAATTTTTCACATTCTGGGGGTAATTCAGAACAAGCATTACTTGCGCAGAGATGTAATGAGTGACACAGGCATTTCATTATGTAAATTCCAGGACATCTCTGCTCAAATCGTGTTCTTACTGAATTTTTATCCCCCATCATAGTATCACACCCATCTGATCCAAACCCTATGATATTTGTGAGTGGAACTGAGTATTTTTGAAAAGATTTTTCAACGCAGTTAAAAATATATTTTGCTGATGCTTCAGATGATTTATCTTCTTCATTAAAAATCTGATACAACACCCAGAAGCGACTGGTGATTTTGCCTGGCTCAGCATCATAAAATCTAACAATAATGCATAAATTTTGTGTCCTAGAAATGTCAGTTGACTCGTCATTTAGAACACTAAATAATACATTTCTTATCTTTATAGATAAATCTTCTTTTTCAGTTGCTCCAATTACGTTTGACACTACAGCAGCAGACTTTGATGATTTTAACCTCAAATCCTGGGCAAATTTTTGAATCTGGAAAGCAATCTTTTAAAAGAGGTGTCAGGTGGTCCATTAACCGAAAAGGAAGATTGTGCTCAGCTAGAAATTCACAAAGTTTTATTTCTGCACGTGTTGCTTTGTTATCAAATGATGTTTCCACTTTTTTTTTTGAGTAAATGATTGAATTGATTTTTGATTCGAAGCCGAAGTGATTGATGACAAATGACTTTTAGATTTGCCATGATTTTTAATTACCGTGAGCTCAGCAGTGAAGGATGTATTACATAATCTGCATCTAGCTTTAAACTTGTCTGATACATCTGGCATTAACCACGTGTTGAACTTGGTATCATTCACCCATTCTCTCAAAAATTTTTGCTTTCTACGTGCATAAAGTTTCGGCTTTTTAGCCTGTAGTCTTCTTGTATCTTCATCAGAACTTATATTACTCATCTTGTTCGAAATCGTAACACTTGAAATAGAAAAAAAGAAACACTTTATTCTTCTGTAGGATTTAGGGCTGGCATCTAATCTAAATCAATAAATAAAATACTTTTAAAAATACAAGCAGAAACTACTAGCTATACCAATTGATTTGTAAATAATTACCTGATTTAGCACAAAAAATATTTTTCAGCGGATTATAATTTCAGTTGTAAATTACTGCAGCGCACAACAAATATAAATATCACAGAGCTCCAAACGATAAATGGCTTTCGAATCCAAACAACAAAAGTGTACATACAACAAAGATCACGTTACTGAGAGTGTAGGTACCATAGATAATGTAAACTAGCTGTAAGTGGAATTGTCTTGAGGCAATTATGGCAAATTGCTGGAACTTCCCGTACCGTAACGAAATGTTCGTGGAATACTGAATGTTTTCAAATAGATTATTATAAATATTGTAACATTGTCTAATATTTATAAGAATTATATAAACTGAATTGCAGAGTTGAAATTATTTGTAAAGTATATTAGAACTATAGTCAGAATTAAAAATAAAATCTGAAATAATTTCGATATACAAAAAAAAAAAAAAAAAATTGGAACAAAATTGGAACAAATTTTTTTTTTCCAAAATCAATTATTTTGTTAAGACAAGCAGAAAGTTCTTTGAATCATTTAAATCGGACGCTTAGTTCTCTCAAAAACAGCCATTTTTTGCACATTTAGCTCTGTATCTTCGGCATGACTGGACGTGTCTTTGCCAAAACCTAAGCACTACTTCTTCCAATCATTACAAATTGAATGTTTTTTGATCACTCAAATGCGACACTCCGTTCTCTAAAAAACTTGATTTCTATTTTCTGCACTCTTTACTCCGTATCTTCGTAACGGCTGGTCCTGCCTTTGCCAAATACTAATCAGCATATCTCCGCATCAATAGGAACCGAATGTTGAATAAACCATTCAAATCGGTTAATCCGTGCGCCCGAAAACCTGAACGAAAAAATGCGGACACACAAAACACACACATACATCCATTTTTTCTGAGGTATGGCAAAATGTTCAAAAACCTCTGATACGTGAAGAAATGGAAAAATTTTCATTTTTGATGTTTGGCCCATTACTATAACTAATGCCACAAGTGACAATAAACACGCATACATGTAATGTAAGAACATTACGATTTGGAGAAATTGTATTGCTTCATCTTTGACACAATTTCTTCAAAATCCGGACTTTAACATGTCAGAGCAATTTTAATACAATCTTCGGCATTCAATCTATTTCTCCTCGATTTTATGTTTATCAGACTGGAAAAGTTTTGCACAAATATGTGGTTCCAAATGGCAGCATTTTTCTCACCGCTTCTTCATGTGCTATTTCAAAACTCTTTGCAGCTTTTGACATCCAAAAACATGACAGATTTTGTTCACTTCCAAATTCAATACGTGCTTCGGTATTTAAACGAATTTCCAGAATTGATTCTGCCAAACCTGCTGGTTTTTCCGGTATCATGAAAGTTTCACATTTAAAAAGATCTACAATCCACTCACAATACGTGTATCCAGATCTGGAAAGTTCTACCAGGTGAAGCAATTTTTTTACAATTCTCCAAAAACAAAGCTAACCTTGGAAAAGATGCTATCTTGTTCTCTTCTACTTTCTGCCTCCAATATTCGCTGAAAAAGTATTAATATGCTTTTCGTGTAATTCTTTAATATATTTATGCTCTCAAAAATGTCTGCTAAATATGCGAAATATGCCACTGAGGAAGAGTTTTTAAAATTTTCAGCAACAATATTTTTTTGAAAAACCCTAGAGATTTCAGCTTCATTTTTAAGAGTCCATACTCAATTTAAAATATTACCGCGAGAGAGCTATCTTACTTCTGTATAATAAGGGAGGCAGGTCTCAGCTTCACTATCCTGACATAATTCACAAAATAGCCGCGTATTTAGTGCATGTCCCTTGATAAAATTTATAATCTTGATAACATCATGAGTGTGGGTTATTTCCCCTTACAAAAACTGAAAAACCATAAATATGACCCAGCATAGCTGAAGCTTTATCCAAAGACACCAAATTGCACTTTTCCCATTTTAATCTTTGTGCTTTGAGCTATTCGTTTACTTTATTATAAATATTTATTCCAAGAAATTTCTGTTGCTAACTTGTTTTATATACAATTCAATATTTGTAATGAAACCAAATATCTTCGCTTTCGCATCGACAAGTGTTTTATTTGGTCCTTGGAGTTGTTTATTTAATATATTCAATTTTTCAAATATATCTGTTAAATAACTTACAAACGCTTTACCATCGATAGTTAATAAAATCTTCATTTCAGGTTTGTCATTTAAAAATTCACTTAAAACATCGAAGAGTTGCATAAATCTATTTAAGCAATTTCCTTTGGAAAGCCATCTTACTTCAGTATGAAGCAAAAGTCTCACATAGCTTTCATTTTGCTCTTCACAAAACAGCCTAAAAAGACGTTCAGATTTGGCACTGGCTTTAATAGCATTAATGCATTTTATAACTGCATGTAATACCTCATTTAGAACAGGCGAGATATTTTTTACAACTAAGTGTTCCTTATGATTTACACAATGCACAATAACCATTTCAGGATTTATATCTTTAATCAATTTCAAGCAGCCATTTTTCTTGCCCATCATGTTAGGAGCACCATCTACAGCACAAGATGTTATATTTTTCATAGATATGTTCTTCAATTCTAAATAGTTTGTTAACTTATTATATATGTCTTGGGATTTAGTAGTGTCTTCCAGTCTTTCGCAGAATAACATTTCTTCAGAAAATTGCCCTGCATCAATAAATTGTACATATGCCAGCAATACAGCCCCACTGTCTCTCAAGGTCGATTCATCTATTTGTATTGAAAAATGTCTGGTTTTTAACTTATCAATTAATTGGTTTTCAATATCGTCACTCATTTCGTCTATCCTTCTGCAAGCAGCATTATTACTGAGGTGCTTTCACTTCTGTGCCATCTTTTTCTAAAACTGTTTTAAGAAATGCTGAAATTAATGGTTTTATGGCGCTAGTGGGCCATTTATTATTAATTAATTATATCTTGAAATGAAACCGCAATTAACTGATGTAGACTCGTTGATAATGTGAGTTTATTCATAACTCAATTTACAATGAAACTGATATTATATAAATTTTGATATCAATTTTTAGCCCGAAAATTGATCGATGATCAAAAACCGCGAGACCATTTTTCGATCGTGAAAAAACAATAATCTAGCCAAAGCTTGCTAGATGCGACATTCGCATCAGCGTAGCCCAAAGTATGCTGTGTAGTTTTGTCATCACATTGGTGTCATTCTGTCATGAAACATAATGCATTCCGCCATAGTTTTATCAAATTTTCTCTTATAGTGTGGTTTTTTCCACTTTTGCAAATTAATAATGAAATTTGATAACTCGCCTCAAGAAGACGACTGTTTGTTGAAGACCGTGCAGTAAATAGAGACGGCAATGATGTTCTTTTCTCAAACTTTCCTTTTAAAGTTTTAAAATAATTCAAATCTGAATTTACATGATCACGATGTTTTGCCTTCAAATGTGCCTCAAGACGACCTGGTTTCATTGATTCGTTGCTCAAACACTGATGACATAAGACAAAAGGGTATCCGCTTTTAAATATTCGTTCGAATATTGACGAGTTTTTCTCTTACTTGTTCCACTCATTTTATTGTGAGCTAAAAAATATTATAAAACTGTTTGAAAATATGTGTTAAAAATATTTAAATATGGCAGAAGAAACGTATACGCAGAGGAAAAATATTAATGGTCAACAGTCTTTTTTATACAACCTCTATAAAAGCTTATACCTGCGTGGGTAAAAAAAACGACTGAAACTTTACTCTGGAAAAGGTATAAAAAATAAAATAGTAAATTAAGTTATAAAAGCAATTTTTTTAATTCAACAAGAGTTAAATTAAATGAATAGTTAATTCAACTTTGCTAGTGAATATTTCTTACAAAAACCATACAAAGGTTATTTAAAGTGTTCTCTATAAAAATTTAACCCATAAAATTTATTTTTTGTATTGATTGAATATTGTAGCTATTATTTCGTAAAATTTCTTTAAAATAAAATTAAATCATTGGACCTGTTTACTCAACGGCAGTCCCAATTCACTCCGCTATTAAAGTAAAAAGAACCAGGTTACGAATATTTGAAAAACAAAAGACACATTTCTACAATGATGAATTAGCAGGAAGTTTTCCTGAACATAGTCAGATAGTTGTTTGTTTGATATGTGTTGTGATAATTGGTTTGATTTTTACAATATAATTGCTCCAAGTCAAATTGGACCTTTGTGCCCCGCCCTATCCTATTGCATTATCTCATTTTTTTTTTACTTGACAGAAATTTCTGTATAATTGAATGCTTCTATAAATAAAATGGACTACTCACCAATTGATAATATATTAACAATATATTATAAGTATATTTATTAACTCAACAATTAATCCTAACAATTTCACTCACAAATCAACACTTGAGTATATTTATAAACTCAATGATTAATTCTAACTATTTCACTCACAAATCAACACTAACGTTTATTTATTAACTCAACGATTAATTCTAATGAATCAACACTTACTTCAATTTAACACCGACTGAATGATGGGAAACACTAAAGAAGGCTTCAAGTTTTCGGGGTTTTTCGTAACATACGGCAAATTTTGCGATAATTCCCCGATCCTAGCTACTGATTTGAACTTCACTTATAGAAACCAATACAGATAAATCTAGTGTGCTCATTTTAAAGTGCGAATTCTTCGTTTAAAATTGAGATAAATGACTCTTTTATGGCAAACAAAATTATATTTAATAATTCTTTTTTTGTAAAATCTAATAAGTATTTTGAAGCAAAAAAGTAAATGTAGTATCCAGAATTTTCAAATTATCCCCCTGAATTTACAATTTGCCCCCCGGTTGGGCGTGCGCCCCACGTTGG